ACATTTTAGGTTTTGCAAGGGGTCCGTGTTCGCGTTCTCAGTTGGAAGTAGCAACATGGACGTGTCTACGCTTTTTGCTTTCATTAAGTAGAAACTCAATGCCAGGTGAGCGCATGGTGGTAGTGGATGTTGTTGAGCCTACCTCGACATAATCAACAATATCGGTTTTAGAGAGGTTTTTATCCACGTCCATTGATCACAGAGGACACGTTTCGGTGAACACAACCCTTAGGAGACCAAGTTGTCACGATTGTAACCTCCAATTTGTGAGACAGTTTAAAGAACGTTTCCAGATGCATACACATGTTTATTTAAATTGTGTGCAAGGCTGGTCCTACCGATAGGGCAGCACATGCCTCCCCAATACCTCAGGCTTGTCTCCATGTGGAGGTCCTCAGTACCTCAGGCTTGACTCCATGTGGAGGTCCCCAGTACCTCAGGCCTGTCTCCATGTGGAGGTCCCCAGTACCTCAGGCCTGTCTCCATGTGGAGGTCCCCAATACTTCAGGCTTGTCTCATTATGGAGGTCCCCAATACTTCAGGCCTGTCTCCATATGGAGGTCCCCAGTACTTCAGGCCTGTCTCCATGTGGAGGTCCCCAATACCTCAGGCTTGCCTCCATGTGGAGGTCCCCAGTACCTCATGCTTGTCTCCATGTGGAGGTCCCCAGTACCTCAGGCCTGTCTCCATATGGAGGTCCCCAGTACCTCAGGCTTGTCTCCATGCGGAGGTCCCCAGTACCTCAGGCTTGTCTCTTTGAAGGTCCCCAGTACCTCAGGCTTGTCTCTGTGAAGGTCCCCAGTACGTCAGGCTTGTCTCTGTGAAGGTCCCCAGTACCTCAGGCCTGTCTCTGTGAAGGTCCCCAGTACCTCAGGCCTGTCTCTTTGAAGGTCCCCAGTACCTCAGGCCTGTCTCTGTGAAGGTCCCCATTACGTCAGGCCTGTCTCTGTGAAGGTCCCCAGTACCTCAGGCCTGTCTCTGTGAAGGTCCCCAGTACCTCAGGCCTGTCTCTGTGAAGGTCCCTAGTACCTCATGCTTGTCTCTGTGAAGGTCCCCAGTACGTCAGGCTTGTCTCTGTGAAGGTCCCCAGTACGTCAGGCTTGTCTCTGTGAAGGTCCCCAGTACCTCAGGCCTGTCTCTGTGAAGGTCCCCATTACGTCAGGCTTGTCTCTGTGAAGGTCTCCAGTACCTCAGGCTTGTCTCCATGCGGAGATCCCCAGTACCTCAGGCTTGTCTCCATGCGGAGGTCCCCAGTACCTCAGGCTTGTCTCCATGAGGAGGTCCCCAGTACCTCAGGCCTGTCTCTGTGAAGGTCCCCAGTACCTCAGGCCTGTCTCTTTGAAGGTCCCCAGTACCTCAGGCCTGTCTCTGTGAAGGTCCCCAGTACGTCAGGCTTGTCTCTGTGAAGGTCCCCAGTACCTCAGGCCTGTCTCTGTGAAGGTCACCAGTACCTCAGGCCTGTCTCTGTGAAGGTCCCCAGTACGTCAGGCCTGTCTCTGTGAAGGTCCCCAGTACGTCAGGCTTGTCTCTGTGAAGGTCACGAGTACCTCCGGCCTGTCTCTGTGAAGGTCCCCAGTACCTCCGGCCTGTCTCTGTGAAGGTCCCCAGTACCTCAGGCCTGTCTCTGTGAAGGTCCCAAGTACGTCAGGCCTGTCTCTGTGAAGGTCCCCAGTACCTCAGGCTTGTCTCTTTGAAGGTCCCCAGTACGTCAGGCCTGTCTCTGTGAAGGTCCCCAGTACGTCAGGCCTGTCTCTGTGAAGGTCCCCAGTACCTCAGGCCTGTCTCTGTGAAGGTCCCCAGTACCTCAGGCCTGTCTCTGTGAAGGTCCCCAGTACGTCAGGCTTGTCTCTGTGAAGGTCCCCAGTACCTCAGGCCTGTCTCTGTGAAGGTCCCCAGTACGTCAGGCTTGTCTCTGTGAAGGTCACCAGTACGTCAGGCCTGTCTCTGTGAAGGTCCCCAGTACCTCAGGCCTGTCTCTGTGAAGGTCACCAGTACGTCAGGCCTGTCTCTGTGAAGGTCCCCAGTACCTCAGGCCTGTCTCTGTGAAGGTCCCCAGTACGTCAGGCTTGTCTCTGTGAAGGTCCCCAGTACGTCAGGCCTGTCTCTGTGAAGGTCCCCAGTACCTCAGGCCTGTCTCTGTGAAGGTCCCCAGTACCTCAGGCCTGTCTCTGTGAAGGTCACCAGTACGTCAGGCCTGTCTCTGTGAAGGTCCCCAGTACCTCAGGCCTGTCTCTGTGAAGGTCCCCAGTACCTCAGGCCTGTCTCTGTGAAGGTCCCCAGTACGTCAGGCTTGTCTCTGTGAAGGTCCCCAGTACGTCAGGCCTGTCTCCATGTGGAGGTCCCCAGTACCTCAGGCTTGTCTCCATGCGGAGGTCCCCAGTACCTCAGGCCTGTCTCCATGTGGAGGTCCCAAGTACGTCAGGCTTGTCTCTGTGAAGGTCTCCAATACTTCAGGCTTGTCTCATTGTGGAGGTCCCTAGTACCTCAGGCTTTGCATCCATGTGGAGGTCCCCAGTACCTCATGCTTGTCTCCATGTGGAGGTCCCAAAGACCTCAGGCTTGTCTCTGTGGAAGTCCCCAGTACCTCAGACTTGTCTCCATGTGGAGGTCCCCACTACCCCAGGCTTGTCTCCATGTGGAGGTCTCCAGTACCTCAGGCTTGTCTTACTTGGGTCATCCAGACACCCGGTTCATTTCGTCGTAGGGTACGACCAGCATAGATTGCTGGAGACCTTTTCTTATTCGGTATCAATACGGATGGATTCCGAGTACGCATAAAGGCGATGCTTGTCATGAAAGGCGCCCAAATGGACCTTGAGGTCAGGTTACGAGTCTTTGTCTTTGTATGCGATTTTGCGTGGATCGATGCTCGTGATAGTTATCTCTGGATTGTCTGGTCCAGATTCGACTGTGTACTGATTATATAGCTGGAATATGACAAACAACAGAAAATCTAATGTTTATATTTCGTGCCTCAGTAGATTGGCATTAATCTGTCATATTCCATCGACATGTCATTTTGAGGCGTAGGTGGAACCCAGTCCAATAGGCGGCACAAAACATTACTCACCCACGTACACAAACCTCACCCACGTACTCAAACCCTAATTACCCCCGTGCTCAAACCCTTTTCAACCACGTACTTAAACCCTATTTACCAGCGTACCCAAACCCTATTTACCAACGTACTCAAACTCTATTCAGCAACGTACTCAAATCCTATTCACCCACGTACTCAAACCTAATCTGCGTACTCACATCTCACCAACGTACCCAAACCCTATTTACCAACGTACTCAAGCCTGTTTCACCCACGTACTCAAATCCTATTCACCCACGTACTCAAACCTGTTTCACCCACGTACTCAAACCTCATCCGCGTACTCACATCTCACCAGCGTACCCAAACCCTATTCACCCACGTACCCAAACCCTATTTACCCACGTACTCAAACCCAATTCACCCGCGTACTCAAACCATATTCACCCGCGTACACAAACCATGTTTACCTACGCACTCAAACTCTATTCACTCACGTACTCAAACCTCACCCACGTACTCAAACTCTATTTACCCACGTACTCAAACCCTATTCACCCACGTACTCAAATCCTATTCACCCACGTACTCAAACCTCACCCATGTACTCAAACCCTATTCACCCATGTTCTCAAACCCTATTCACCCACGTACTCAAATCCTATTCACCCACGTACTCAAACCTCAACCACGTACTCAAACCCTATTCACCCACGTACTCAAACCTCACCCATGTATTCAAACCCTATTCACCCACGTACTCAAACCTCACCCGCGTACTCAAACCATATTGCCCCGCGTACTCGAACCATATTTACCCACGTATTCAAACCATATTTACCTACGCACTCAAACTCTATTCACCCCCGTACTCAAACCTCACCCACGTACTCAAACTCTAAATACCCACGTACTCAAACCCTATTCACCCACGTACTCAAACCCTATTTACCCACGTATTCAAACCTCACCCACGTACCCAAACCCTATTCACCCACGTACTCAAACGAGGTTCAGCCCCTCAATTTCTCCAATTTGAATCCCCACCATTGAAGAATGCTTCCAACCAAATTTGGTTGATATCTATCTCTTAGTTCCAGGGAAGAAGTCGTTAAAACCAATAATGCCAAATTACCCCTATTTAGCCCCGCCCCACAGCCACTTTGGGGGTCAGCCCCTCCATTGTATAATGATGAATCATCACCACCGGAGAATGCTTCCGACCAAATATGGTTGACATCTATCACTTAGTTCCAAAGAAAAAGTCGTTTAAAGCAATGTAGCCAAATTGCCTCTATTTGGCCCCGCCCCTCGGGCCCTTGAGGGGTCAGCCCAACCATTTGTACAATTTGGAATCCCCAACACCCAGGGATGTGTCCAGTTAAACTTCGTTAATTTCCTACTGGTGGTTCAAAAGAAGAAGTCGTTTGAAAAAATGTTGACGTACGGACGACGGACGCCATGGTATGGCATACGCTCACCTTGAACTTCGGACCCGGTGTGTTGATAATCAACTGTTGGTATAGGGCCCACGACGACAGCGGCCATGTGTAACACATTACAGTTCAGCAAAATGGTTGAACTGAAAAGTTGGATTTCAAGTGTCGTGACACCGAAACGCAATACTCAATTTCTGGTAACGCAATACCTAGGTACAGTTTCATTTGGATACGGAGCAACTGGTCTAGTAGATCATAAATAAAAAATGTGTCGATTATGTAATCATTAGACATTCAGTCAGCCACACACCTTGTAGAGAGGTCCTGTATATGGGTACAGTGGTCACACAAGTGAACATAGATCCAGATCGACCATGCACCATGTTGAGAGATTCTATAAAATACGATAAAGTGTTAACGACACGGAATTTCATCACCATACATGTATATGGGATAAACGTAGACACAATACTGAGTTAGATGCGTGTTAATCCGCGTTCCTGGTAGTCGTTGTTCCGACTTGGGTGCAAGCTGAAAGTGGCCACATGCCTCGTCATGCTATTGATTCTGCATTTTTCAAGAGACAGGTGAGAGAGAAGGTGGCGTCCTGATTCCTCAGCCTAAGGTAGGTACATTTATCACACAGCATGTTGTACTGTCATCGGCTTAATTCGGAAGCTTGACCTACTGCTTGTATAGCTTATGTTGTCACTTGTTAAATATGTAAGCTGATGACGTCAGTGATAACATGCCATTAATAAACAATGGCCAAAAATAAGTATAAGAAAGTAGTCCATTATCATTAAAATCTTGTACGTTCCTGACAATTCATTCAGTCTTTTTACTGATACATGACGTTAAAACAGGACCCTTATTGGGATCGCTACCTCTGCTCCTAGACAACATAAGGACGCAGTGCTAATTCATCCCTGGTGTCGGATGATAGACATGATATATTGAGGACCGAACGCTCGACAAACACTAAAATGAAAAGTAGATCCTGTTGATAATCTCTGATAAAAATATCCCCTCAATATTGACTTTGTCAGATAGAATTCAACTCCTGTATGTCCCAGGCATGTTTGCATTGAAGGTTTTGTAGTATTATCTGTGGTATAAGAATTCAACTCGTGTATGTCCCAGGCATGTTTGCATTGAAGGTTTTGTAGTATTATCTCGTATAACGTTAACACATTTGTTGTCGGCTCTATTTGCTTGACGCGCCGTGCATATTTCGCGATTCAGAGCAATTGGATTCATGCATAATTCTACCCACCCTGGCCATTGTCCTGATGACACACATGTTCCACACTCCAGCTCGTCAATAGCATAACAACAAAGTGAACGCCTTGCCTGCCACCTTGGCGTTGCGTAGTGCTCATCAGTCGTATTCCTTTACATCGCTTTACTTGACACTGGAAAAGTCAGAGGGCACATACTGCTCAAACTAAGCATCCCCCCCCCCCCCTACCCCACCCCCACCCCCATGTTTCACAGCAGCTAGAGACTTGCTGTTACCACTCCCCTACCCCCACGTTTCACAGCAGCTAGAGACTTGCTGTTTCTCTCCAGTTTCTATCCAATGAGAATACTGAACTATATTATAAGAATACTGAACTATTCAATGAGAATACTGAAGTGAACTGTACATTGAGAATAATACTGAACTATACATTGAGAATACTGAAGTGAACTATACATTGAGAATACTGAAGTGAACTATACATTGAGAATACTGAAGTGAACTATACAATGAGAATACTGAACTATTCCATGAGAATACTGAAGTGAACTGTACATTGAGATTACTGAACTATTCCATGAGAATACTGAAGTAAACTAAACAATGAGAATACTGAACTATACAATGAGAATACTGAACTATCCCATGAGAATACTGAAGTGAACTATACAATGAGAATACTGAACTATTCCATGAGAATACTGAAGTGAACTATACATTGAGAATACTGAAGTAAACTATACAATGAGAATACTGAAGTGAACTGTACATTGAGAATACTGAAGTGAACTATACATTGAGAATAATGAAGTGAACTGTTCATTGAGAATACTGAAGTGAACTGTACATTAAGAATACTGAAGTGAACTATACAATGAGAATACTGAAGTGAACTATACATTGAGAATACTGAACTATACATTCAGAATACTGAACTATACATTGAGGATACTGAACTAAACAATGAGAATACTGAAGTGAACCATACATTGAGAATACTAAAGTAAACTATACATTGAGAATACTGAAGTGAACTGTACATTGAGAATACTGAAGTGAACTATACAATGAGAATACTGAAGTGAACTGTACATTGAGAATACTGAAGTAAACTGTTCATTGAGAATACTGAAGAGAACTGTACATTGAGAATACTGAAGTAAACTGTGCATTGAGAATACTGAAGTGAACTATACATTGAGAATACTGAAGTGAACTATACAATCAGAATACTGAAATATACATTGAGAATACTGAAGTAAACTGTGCATTGAGAATAATGAAGTGAACTATACAATGAGAATACTGAAGTGAACTGTACATTGAGAAAACTGAAGTGAACCATACATTGAGATTACTGAAGTAAACTATACAATGAGAATACTGAAGTGAACTATACATTGAGAATACTGAAGTAAACTATACATTGAGAATACCGAAGTGAACTATACAATGAGAATACTGAAGTGAACTATACAATGAGGATACTGAAGTGAACTGTACATTGAGAATACTGAAGTGAACTATTCATTAAGAATACTGAACTATACATTGAGAATAATGAAGTGAACTATACATTAAGAATACTGAACTATACAATGAGAATACTGAAGTAAACGTTACATTGATAATACTGAAGTGAACTATTCATTAAGAATACTGAACTATACATTGAGAATAATGAAGTGAACTATACATTAAGAATACTGAACTATACATTGAGAATACTGAACTATAGATTTAGAATACTGAAGTGACCATATACATTGAGAATACTGAACTATACATTTAGAATCCTGAACTATACATTGAGAATACTAAAGTAAACTATACATTGAGAATATCGAAGTGAACTGTACATTGAGAATACTGAAGTGAACTATACAATGAGAATACTGAAGTTAACTGTACATTGAAAATACTGAAGTGAACTGTACATTGAGAATAATGAAGTGAACTGTACATTGAGAATACTGAAGTGAACTATACAATGAGAATACTGAAGTGAACTGTACATTGAGAATACTGAAGTGAACTGTACATTGAGAATACTGAAGTAAACTATACATTGAGAATATCGAAGTGAACTGTACATTGAGAATACTGAAGTGAACTATACATTGATAATACTGAAGTGAACTATACAATGAGAATACTGAAGTGAACTGTACATTGAAAATACTGAAGTGAACTGTACATTGAGAATACTGAAGTGAACTGTACATTGAGAATACTGAAGTGAACTATACAATGAGAATACTGAAGTGAACTGTACATTGAGAATACTGAAGTGAACTGTACATTGAGAATACTGAAGTAAACTATACATTGAGAATACTGAAGTGAACTATACATTGAGAATACTGAAGTGAACTATACATTGAGAATACTGAAGTGAACTATACAATGAGAATACTGAAGTGAACTGTACATTGAGAATACTGAAGTGAACTGTACATTGAGAATACTGAAGTGAACTATACAATGATAATACTGAAGTGAACTGTACATTGAGAATACTGAAGTGAACTGTACATTGAGAATACTGAAGTAAACTATACATTGAGAATACTGAAGTGAACTATACATTGAGAATACTGAAGTGAACTATACATTGAGAATACTGAAGTGAACTATACATTGAGAATACCGAAGTGAACTATACATTGAGAATACTGAAGTGAACTGTACATTGAGAATACTGAAGTGAACTGTACATTGAGAATACTCAAGTGAACTATACATTGAGAATACTGAAGTGAACTATACATTGAGAATACTGAAGTGAACTATACAACGAGAATACTGAAGTGAACTATACAATGAGAATACTGAACTATTCCATGAGAATACTGAAGTGAACTAAACAATGAGAATACTGAAGTGAACTATACAATGAGAATACTAAAGGGAACTATACAATGAGAACACTGAAGTGAACTATACAATGAGAATACTGAAGTGAACTATACAATGAGAATACTGAAGTGAACTATACAATGAGAATAATGAACTATTCCATGAGAATACAGAAGTGAACTATTCAATGAGAATACTGAAGTGAACTATACAACGAGAATACTGAAGTGAACTATATAATGAGAATACTGAAGTGAACTATACATTTAGAATACTGAAGTGAACTATACATTGAGAATACTGAAGTGAACTATACAATGAGAATACTGAAGTAAACTGTACATTGAGAATACTGAAGTAAACTATACATTGAGAATACTGAAGTGAACTATACATTGAGAATACTGAAGTGAACTGTACATTCTCTCTTCTCTAACTCCCTCTCTCTATCGATTCCATACCGTCTCATTTATTGAAAACAGTGACGTGTCATCGTCCTTCTAATCAATATCCATTTATCACTGTGAATTCAGACTTCACGTCCGTCCACCGCGGGGATTTAAAACTATATATTAAACCAATTACATACAGGCAGTTAATATCTGAAATGTCTAATAACCAATATTCACTAAACAAGAACACATTAAACGTCCCTTTGATAGTTATTGACAAACCAAAAATACATCAGGAGGAAGCAAGGTACATATATTTTAGCACATGTATATTAATTCCTCGTGTGATTCAGTAACTATTGATCGTCCCAGTTTCTACCTGGCTTCATGAGAATCTTCACCTTTTCTTAACTGCGGCTGTTTATTAATATCTAAATGTTTTAAATAATGCATCAAAATGAACAAACCAAGTTAAGGTCATGTTCGATTGGCTGCCACATATACAATGAGAATACTGAAGTGAACTATACAATGAGAATACTGAAGTGAACTATACAATGAGAATACTGAAGTGAACTATACAATGAGAATACTGAAGTGAACTATACAATGAGAATACTGAACTATTCCATGAGAATACTGAAGTGAACTATACAATGAGAATACTGTAGTGAACTATACAATGAGAATACTAACGTGAACTATACAACGAGAATACTGAACTATTCCATGAGAATACTGAAGTGAACTATTCCATGAGAATACTGAAGTGAACTATACAATGAGAATACTCAACTATTCCATGAGAATACTGAAGTGAACTTTACAATGAGAATACTGAACTATTCCAGGGGAATACTGAAGTGAACTATACAATGAGAATACTGAACTATTCCATGAGAATACTGAAGTGAACTATACAATGAGAATACTGAAGTGAACTATACCATGAGAATACTGAACTATTCCTTGAGAATACTGAAGTGAACTATACAATGAGAATACTGAACTATTCCATGAGAATACAGAAGTGAACTATACAATGAGAATAATGAACTGTACAATAAGAATACTGAAGTGAACTATAGAATGAAAATAATGAACTATTCCATGAGAATACACAAGTGAACTATACAATGAGAATACTGAACTATATTATAAGAATACTGAACTATACAATGAGAATACTGAAGTGCACTATACAATGAGAATACTGAACTATTCCATGAGAATACAGAAGTGAACTATACAATGATTATACTGAACTACACAATGATAATACTGAACTACACAATGATAATACTGAACTACACAATGATAATACTGAACTACACAATGATAATACTGAACTATACATTGAAAATACTGAACTATACAATGATAATATTAAAGTAAACTATTACTTTAGAATACTGAACTATACATTGAGAATACTGAACTATACATTGAGAATACTGAACTATACATTGAGAAAACCGAAGTGAATTGTACTTTGTGAATAATGAACTATACATTAAGAATACTAAACTATTCCATGAGAATACTGAACTATACTTTTCAAAGAGAATACTGAAGTGAACTGAACATTGAGAATACTGAACTGGTCAGGCTCACTGACTTGGTTGATGCATGTAATCGTAATCTCGGACGCGAAATGAAACCCCATTTCACCTCAGCACCTCACTAGTTGACTGGCAAAAGGGTGCTAGGCTGGATACAGCTCATCAGTCATGACCGGACTTGATCAGCCGTCATATAGCTGGAATTTTGCTGATTGAATGAGTTTTGAGGGAGACGTGGGAGGGAGGGAGGGGTGTCTTGTGGTATGAGGGAGACGTGGGAGGAAGGGAGGGGTGTCTTGTGGTATGAGGGAGACGTGGGAGGAAAGGGGGGGGTGTCTTGTAGTTTGAGGGAGACGTGGGAGGAAGGGAGGAGTGTCTTGTAGTTTGAGGGAGACATGGGAGGAAGGGAGGAGTGTCTTGTGGTTTGAGGGAGACGTGGGAGGGAGGGAGGAGTATCTTGTGGTATGAGGGAGACGTGGGAGGGAGGGAGGGGTGTCTTGTGGTTTGAGGTAGACGTGGGAGGAAGTGAGGAGCGTCTTGTGGTTCGAGGGAAACGTGGGAGGAAAGGAGGGGTGTCTTGTGGTTTGAGGGAGACGTGGGAGGAAGGGAGGAGTGTCTTGTGGTTTGAGGGAGACGTGGGAGGAAGGGAGGAGTGTCTTGTGGTTTGAGGGAGACGTGGGAGGAAGGGAGGAGTGTCTTGTGGTTTGAGGGAGACGTGGGAGGAAGGGAGGAGTGTCTTGTGGTTTGAGGGAGACATGGGAGGAAGGGAGGAGTGTCTTGTGGTTTGAGGGAGACGTGGGAGGGAGGGAGGAGTATCTTGTGGTATGAGGGAGACGTGGGAGGGAGGGAGGGGTGTCTTGTGGTATGAGGGAGACGTGGGAGGAAGGGAGGGGTGTCTTGTGGTATGAGGGAGACATGGGAGGAAGGGAGGAGTGTCTTGTGGTATGAGGGAGACGTGGGAGGAAGGGAGGGGTGTCTTGTGGTATGAGGGAGACGTGGGAGGGAGGGAGGAGTGTCTTGTGGTATGAGGGAGACGTGGGAGGAAGGGAGGGGTGTCTTGTGGTATGAGGGAGACGTGGGAGGAAGGGAGGGGTGTCTTGTGGTATGAGGGAGACGTGGGAGGGAGGGAGGAGTGTCTTGTGGTATGAGGGAGACGTGGGAGGAAGGGAAGGGTGTCTTGTGGTATGAGGGAGACGTGGGAGGAAGGGAGGAGCGTCTTGTGGTATGAGGGAGACGTGGGAGGAAGGGAGGAGTGTCTTGTGGTATGAGGTAGACGTGGGAGGAAGGGAGGGGTGACTTGTGGTTCGAGGTAGACGTGGGAGGAAGGTAAGAATGTGTCTTGTGATATGAGGTAGACGTGGGAGGAAGGGAAGGGTTTCTTGTGATATGAGGGAGACGTGGGAGGAAGGGAGGAGTGTCTTGTGGTTTGAGGGAGACGTGCTGCTATTTCAAAGTTAGTCTCCTATTGGAATCACAATAAATCTGCTGTTTAGGTTCAAAACATTTTGAGGTTTTGGGTGTGTTGTGATTATGCAGGGACATCGTATCCACTTTCAAGTACCATCATACAATACCTTGGGTTTGATTTACACTGGTCCAGGATATGTGGATCGATTATTCCCCTAACTGGCAGGCGATGTGTTTGTGGTGGGTGCCACCTGTTTGGAAGGCATAGTGATTCAGAAACATCTGCCTTCCGCTGGGCCAGGTATGGGGACCGATCAATATCACTGATCAATTACAGGAACATCAAACTTTGATTAGAACTGTGAGAGATGTAGTCACAGTAACGAGACAAATTCAACCAGAGCTCGTCGGCACCCTAACCGTTGTTGCAGAATGTATCTCTTTTTACTCTTTAACCACTACGCTTCAACCACCGTCCAATTACAGTGATGTATATAGAGGTTATCACGCGAGTGTGTTTGAGGATGGTAAATATCCTGCATTAGGAATAAACATTGTATTTAGCGAGCCTTGGCGAGCTAAATACATAGTGTTTATTCCTAATACAGGATATTTACCATCCCCAAACATACAAGCGTGATAACCTCTTTATCATATAATGTCATTCTTTAATTCTGTGCTTCAAAATCGCTTTCCCTCTCTCACAAACATTACCGAAACATTGCGAGTTTTCCTTGAATGAGCGCATTAATATTTATTACGTCACAGGGTAAGTGATGTGTCAGTCGGACAGTGACGGTAGCCAATATAGTTCCATCTGAAATCTGTTTCTTATACAGTGGCGAAGCAACATATATACGCAAAATAACAATTGTTTTTAATTGCCTTTCGCGGCAATCCATCGGTCTGTCCGCTAGAGTAACTGCCCTTTGTCAAAGGGAAGCTACTCTAACCCTAGTCTATGAGACGTCACGGCCACGGTCAGACGTTGTTAACAGTCAGTCGGTCCTGTCATAACGTTAAGAAGTGTACTCAGATGTACACACAGCGACAAAACGAAACAAGGTAACAATTCAAACATATTTCGGCCAAATCCAACTTTTTTAATTTGTGGAGAAGGTTTCAAGCCGCAGAGGTCTACAAGCACAGATTTGGCTACCGATCCCGCTAAGGTAGGCGTCGTGCCCTCGCAAAATTGTTTCGAAATTTATATCTCCAAAGTTGCCAAAACTTATAAAATGCCTTAGCTACGTCACAGTTAGACACTGATTTTCAGTATATTAGACTGTTCTTTTGATAATGATAGCAATTATCCCTGTAGTTTATCCAGATTCCCGATGGTTAATTCTGACTCGATCGCCGAATGAGAGGGCGACGCCATGTTTGTTTATAAACAGTGAAAGTAGTCCCTACTTGACCTTTGATATTTGCATCTCTATCCGCATATGACTCCAACAGATATCGTTTTTATCCGTTGGCTTTATCCTGCCAAGAAACCAGCCCATGATATGATAAGATTAGTTATCTGTTGTTACTTTGTGTCAGATTTTTGTAGTTGAATCTGTGTATTTGCCAAATCCATTTGAACCGAACCCTATTTTACTCAAGGCTACAAGACATCGCAAGCTGGGGGGTTAACAGAGATCATTATTTATACTTGGTTTGTTTTTTTACGCCGCACTCAGCAATATTCCAGCTATATGATGGCGGTCTGTAAATAATCGAGTCTGGACCAGACAATCCAGTGATTTACATCATGAACATCGATCCACGCCATTGGAATCGATGACATGCATCAACCAAGTCAGCGAGCCACATAATATTGGAGCCATATTCGACCAAACAGAACATGTTATGACAGAGCTTTGTTCTGTTATGAGAATCACAAAAAGTACAACATAATGAAGCATATTACAATAGGGATTTTTTGTGTAAGGGGCAAGTGGTGACGAATGTCGCTACAGTAATCGTGAATTAGTCATTTGCATTCGTCACCACTCGCCCCTTTCCGTAACCTGCAAGAAGACTCGTCCCCCTATCGAAGAAATTTATGTGCGAAAATACGACAAACTTTATCAGAATGCGCGTATGTGATTTCAAAATCTTCGTCAAAGAATCCCTAAGAAATAATTTTTGATTTTACATATGTCTTGCATCTAAAAATATACCAAAGACACAGTTAAATGTGTTCAATCATACTGTATAATACCGCATGTTCAGCTGTGCTTTAACTTGCATCTAAAATATATATAATATATGGGGAAAAATATGTGAACCATTACGCAACGAGTTGACAATTGTTTCAGGTCTGCCCGTTTGCGCTAAGACGGAACCCGGTCGCAAAAATGGCCATGAGAGGGGCACGAATCGCTATTCGGCTTGTCCCGGAATAACACGAGTTGGTCACGAATGAGTCACTTGTTGGTAGATTGTATGCCGTATCATGATCGATGCATCGGCGGTGGACGTACCAAGTACTCAGCCTCGTCGTGAAAGCGGGGTAGTCGTCAACGTTATGTTGCTCAGGTGTAATGACAACTCTCTCACTGTTCGGGCGCCATTGTGTAGCAGGTTCAGGCTTATAGTCGTCCCAGACAAATATTGAAGACGGAGTTTCTTTAAACTTTATGTATTTGCCTGTAACATGAAACGTCAACATGAGAAAAGTGTTGAGTGCTGTCGGCCATCCTACCAGGCTGACAGGTGACAATTGAATGTCCATATTATATATGATATATATAATAATGAGACCGCCTCCGTGGTCTAGTGGTAGAGCGTCCGCCCGGAGAGCGGAAGGTCCGGGGTTCGATGCCCGGCCGCGTCATACAAAAAGACGTTAAAAGATTGTACTTGTTGTTACCCTGTCTGGCGCTCGGCAATAAGGGCTAAAACAAGGACTGGTCGGCTCGAAGTCAGTATACTGTGTCTGAGTGGGGTATTCATGTTAAACTGCGGCATGGTATCTCAGTGTGCTAGCAATATAAATCGGCATCAGTCCGGACTAGAACAAGCAGCAACACACACATACACGTGCATGCACGTCGCTATATAAGTGCAATAATCTTGGACGCGACGTTAAACCCCATTTCACCACACCTATATAATAATGATAGGAGTAAAATAGGCACTATGTATGTATGTATGTATGTATGTATGTATGTATGTATGTATGTACATGTATAAGCACTATAATGAGATAATATGCTGACGTCACACTTAGGGCGCGAAGTCAGTGATCCATAAAATTGTGTTTGGGGTATAATATGTTAATATTAAAATATGAAACATATATACATGTACATATAGTATTATTCCTTTCATACACTGCCTTACGTGCTATGCCAGTGTAGTGATTAAGTTAGTAATAGCGATTAGCGCGATGTTTACAATATACGCGATGTTTACAATATACGCGATCGACTCTTTACATACTTGAAGTTACATTAATTGATTGGTATTAAGTACTATATTCGATATAATTGATACCCAAGAAATAAAATATAGATGTAGAAGGCATATAAAAGAGAAGTGCTTATAATAACCTGTAACATGAAACGTCAACATGAGAAAAATGTTGAGTGCTGTCGGCCAATCCTACCAGGCTCGGCTGTGGGAAGCTTTTGACCGCAAAAGCAAAAAATATGAAAGAAGAATATGAAAGAAGAAAAATTGTTTATTTTTGTCTCACCCATGGTCCCAAAATACATAACACCACAAGATAAAACATGGCCACCCATTCAGGGTTATGAGAGACATTTAACATATAAACAAATTATAAATTAAATCACATATTTAAAACATATGTTACATGGAACTAGTGCTGCTGAAAGATACAACAAACAGTTGTCATGGTAACCAAACATGATACAGGGATTGAAAAAAAATACATGGAAAATACATACAAAATGGAACAATATTCGACCAAGCAGAACATGTTATGACAGAGCATTGTTCTGTAATGAGAATCACAAAAAGTACAACATAATGAAGCATAATACAATGGGATTTTTTGTGTGCAATTCAGCATGCACTCAAACTCATACCAGAACTTCCGGAAGCAAAGGCAGTCGTCCTATCAGACTCGCAAAGTGCACTAAGTTCCATCAGCGGCAGAAACCCCAACATCAGGCCAAACACAGTCAATAATATTCTATACGAATATACAAAACTATCGGATCAAGGGCAACAGGTTGAGCTGTGTTGGATCCCCCCTCACATAGATATTCATGGAAATGAAAAAAGCAGACACACTGGCGAAGCTAGCTCTAGACAAAGCGGAGATACAGCCTATTCCCTTTAGTAAACTAGACAAAACAAAATCAAAGCCTCTATAGCCCAAAGATGGCACGCCCAGTGGGACGCAAGTAAGATCGGCAGATGGCTAAATAAAATTCAACCCAAGATCCAACAAAAGCCAAACTCATACTCAAATGAAATGAAAGTTGAAATTGCCATCTCACGCTCCAGACACAACCATCCATGGTTACAGCCGATCAACCGCTGATACCTTGGATGTTGTCATCTTTAGTTATGTAACGTAATGAAGGTCTGGGTTGTTTTCGAACGGCGGTCGGTGGTAGCATCCTTAAAACTAACATAAGCCCCAGACTCCAAGCTCTAGCTCGCAAAACCCCTCAAATTAACACCAATCTCTCAACGCATAATAAATGACCTAAATACACACAACCTAAATAATTTACAGTTAAACACAGCACCAAATATCACATTCACACCCAAACTCCAAACCCCCCAAATCGACATATCTCTCTCCACCAGACTAAATAAAGAAACTGATCCAAAAACCGCTAAATCCATCACACTAGCTGGCATTCACGAATAATGGCCAAATTGGTGTCACGTTTACACAGACGGGTCCTTGGACCCGGGCTAAAAACGCACAGGATTCGGCATCCATATCAAAAAACCCCAAGAAGAAACAATCCAATAGGCTCCCAAATAATCAGTCAATTTTCACGGCCGAATTAATGGGGATAGTAACAGCCCTGCACAGCGATAAAATAAATAGACACCAAAAAACCCTAATCCTTTCAGACT